CGCGCGCACAGAGAGCAGCTTCATATCTCTTCCTGCGTTCAGTGTGAGGGCTTTAGTTGGGTAACTGTTCTTGATTTAGTTTCGATGGAATTTTCACCCATTTCTTTATTAAAATAAATCAGACATTCTGCATTATCAGAAGCTACAAATCAGACATATCGTTACATAAATGTTGAAATAAAACTGGAAGTATTGTTTTTTTCTTTTAGCCCTCACTATCCCTCTTAAATCGTATAATTGATTGCTACCTTTTTGTATTTCAATTCCCTTTTTTGCCGCCCAAATGATGTGCAATGTTTGAGAATTTTCAGTTGATTTTATTATTTTGGTTTTCTTTCACAGATGATTCAATTCTTTATTTGAGCAGATTTAAAAAAAATCTGTCAATTTCTTTGACATTCCTGCTGCGGGGCAGAGCAGATGTTTAAGAACTTTAATTACAATAAAGGAATGTATCTCATCCATGGGAGCACTGGGTTTTAATTGTAATTATTCATCTTTTTATTATTCATCATGCAGATTGTAATAATGCATTTTATTTGAAGACACTGAGTAAAGATTTATAAAAACATAATTTAAAAAAGTACACCTAAAATATATACAAATGTCGCTTCTTTTGAAAACGGTAGTGGAGCCATTACTAATGTTAACATTTTTATTTACCAGCTGCCATTTTAAAACATATTATTTTTTTACTCTTACTGTCATTAATATTCCCCATTCTCTTTATTGATATATTTGAGATTTGAATTACATTTTAATTTATGCATTAAACATTTTAGATTAAAATGATCATCATAGAAATATAAAAAACTTTGTTGAGATTTGTATTTTCAATTTACATTAAAGCATGGAGACATGTCTGAGTAGAGGCAAAAATATGAAACTGAAAATTCACAGAATATTTCAGGTTTTGACTGTAATCACCTGTGTGTGAAATTTGAACTTTTGTTATTTTTTTCCAAAAATACAACTGTCAGGGACTCAAAGTGATAATCAGACTGGAAAAGATTCATACAAACTGTCAGGAGGCTTCACATCAGCTCTGCACACACACACACACACACACACACACACACACACACACACACACACTGAGCATATAGGCAGAGTGCTGTCAGAGAGTGGGCAGTGCATTACTTTGCATTGTGGCTGTCACACCATCGACTTGCTGTCATATTCACGCTGCAGGTTTCTGTGGAAGACGAACATATTCACATCTGATTTTATAAAGAAATTAGTACCTCCATACAATGTGTTGCAGACATATCTACCAAAAATAGCATGCTAACTGGCTAGCCCGTTCTCTCTTGTAATACCACTTAACAATCCGATGTAGATTCGTCCAAGTGTTTACGAGATGGTCGAAACTAAAAACCTCTCACACACATACAAAACATCCCAAACAAGCCAGCATTTTTTTTAAAGCACACTACCATCAATCATGATATTATTTTTAAAAGATTCCCTTGACCCAGATTGTTGGGGGGCAACGGTGGCCAGTGCCCCTGTAACAATTAGCTTTGACCCCCTTGTGGGGAATATCTTATAATGATAATACAATTTTAGGTAGCGTTGTGCTGGAACTAGCTGAAGTTAAGTGGAATGCATTTGACTATGACTTTTTGCAAAACTAAAAATGTTAAAATGTTGAACACTGTCTCGCAAGTGAGCAAATGGAAATGTGTGTTACTGTAATGTAATTGTGTTACAAAAATAAAAAAATACGTTTATAATGATTCTTCCATCAGTGTTGTCGATCCCAAAATAATTTCTCACATGTTTCTTGATTTGAGGTCATGACTATTCGTTTTTCACGCATAATAGTTTTGCGCATTTTCCTTAGATAAACAGACTGGTTTTATTTACTAGGGCAAGCAATACATCGTGAGGTTGCATTTCACACATCCCCTGTAAATCATCTCCCTTTTAAAATGATTTTCCTTACAGAACATACAGGGCCGTTGATACTGCGGTCCTCCTGTCCCTTCCAGGCTGAGAATAATGCAGGTAAAGCTGCATCCTTAACCCCCCACTATCACTTAAACCCAAGATTAATGGTGCATCCACTTTTCCAGCCTCACCTCCACCTCTAGAATTTTCTCTCTGACTCCAGAATAATGCATCTGCATCTGTTTTCCGCGCTCACTCTAACCCCTCGCTCTTGCATGACTCCAGAATAATGGAGATGTATTTATTTTTACACCCTCCATCTTGACCCCGCGTCGCTATCAATCTGGCTTTAGAATAATGTAGGCACATCTGTTCCGCTCACCCTCCTAACCCCTCAATTTCCCCGCCACTTCAGGATAATGTAGGTGCATCTATTATCACACCCTGCTGCTGTCTCCCGACCCGTTTTTAGAATAATGTGGCTGCATTTACAACAAACAGCCCCCCCTCAATAAACTATCACTGCGGTGTCTGGAAATAAATAAAACGGCATCAAGTGCAGCTTTAAACTTCAAGATGGTGTGGAACAGGGGAAGTATTTATTATTTCAGGTCATAATTTACACCGAATCCTTTCCATATTCTTTCCACTTTCTCCTCTTTTCCTCAGGGACACAAACAAAGTAGAGGTGCATGAGGGAAGAGAATGAAATAAAAAGCACTGGGTAGCAGATAAGAGTGTTGTTGCAGTGTAACCCTCGCCTTTTATTTATCATATCTCCAAATGGCGGTGTAGCTGTTGTGCTGTGGTCAGGATACAGTGACCTTAGTTGATCAACTACCCCCCTAGCAGCCTGATAAGAGGGCTAATATAACAGCGAGCGAGGGGGGAAGGTTGTACTGTAATTATTTCTGCACTGTCAGAGGGGGAACAGACCGCGGCCCCTCCAGCCGATTCAAATCTGAGGGGAAACTAAAAAGAGGAGGAGTGGGAAGGGCCGCCACAACAACAAAGCCAGTGAGACAAATATCAGCCAGCCGCCGCGACACGCCTGAAATTGGACCAGTTTGTCATGCACAGGGCTGCCACACTACATCTAAGATGCCACATACTGTAAGACTTAATTCAAACTTTACTAGTTCAACAGAAACAGCAAATACTCACTAATAGATATTTGAAAGAACATTTTGCAACATGTAAGATATAAACTGAAGGAAATACAAACATACCAGAAATTACTACTACAATTCAAATGTAAACACAATTGAAAAGAAAGGACATAGTTTACAGACAGAAAATACAAAAGGCAAGCAAACATAGAAAAATGCAAATCAATTGCAACAAATATTGACGACTATAAGAGTTATTCTATTTAAGACAAAAGTTAAAAAAGAAAATCAGCAATTCCTATGTACTGCTGAATTGTTCTTGGCAGCAATTGGTAGGAAATACTGCATTTGTTGGGGACTATTTTCACTGGTGGATTAATCAACATTTGTGCTCCTGCTTGTGAGTATTTGTGGCAGGAGGATGCGGTGCACGTGGAATTTAGTCGACTAAAGTCTGTGCATGGTAGGTAAGCAACACTGTGCAACTCTATGGCTCATTGATGTGTTTTTAATAGTCCAATAATGGAGCTCTAAAGGCCCAGATACACCGGCCAGTCACCTGAGAAGTCGCCGACGCCGACACTGACTGTTGCGTCGCCGGACTCTCCTGCGTATTTCCCGACTTCGCGCATTGGAACACACCGCAAATCCGAGCTGAGCACGTATGAACTGCAATAACTCTCCTTACCAGCAGGCGGCGGTAGTGTGTATTCATCATTCAAAAGAGGCAACAACCGGAACAACCGGAAGACAGAGAAGAAGAACAGACTCCGTGATATAAACAAACAACAAATAGCGTTTTTCTTTCCATTTTCACTCTCGTCCATTGAAAACATGAACGAACAGGAGCTCTATAAACCGATGAGGTGAAATAGCCGTCCGTGTCTGTTCCATCTTCCATTTAAAATCATTTGTTTACCTCCCTCACTTCCGTTAACGCTTCTCATGCACTGATTCGCTGGCTGAACAGCCAATCTGTGTTATCCCTTTGTCCGACTTCCGGTGGTGTTCCCGACGCCGATTCAACAAGAA